ACAGCGACGACGCAGTGGAGTCCCCCATCAGTAGTATCAATAAAGGTATAGAGTTGGTTAAGAATCATCAAAAAGTCATTAAATTTGCAGATCGTCGCAGCTTGGTTGAAAAGTGGTTCAAGAATATTAAGCCACCCGATGGCAGACGATGTACAAAAGATGTACAGAGCGTAGATGACGACAGAGAGGAAGGAAGAGATCTAGATTCGAGCCTTATCAAAAGAGACCGGCAACTGTCAATCGCATGGAGACTGACGAGATGTCAACGGGCAGTGGAAAACCCGGCTGGGGGGGGGGGGGGCACTGGAGACGGGATTGCATCAAGACAGATGACGTCAAACATGATAAAATTGATTTCCCATTGTGGCCCCACCCTACCCCATGGGGTCATGATTTGAACAATTGAGAATCTACACTACCCCAGGATGCTTCCATATACGTTTCAGCTTTTCTGGCCCAGTGGTTCTTGAGAAGATTTTTTAATGAACCCATCCTATTTTTATCTTTTCTTGATTATCTCCCCTTGTGAGAGGACCTGGCCCTTCATTTTGACAATGTAACTTCCCCTTTACCCAAAAATGCTTTGTACCAAGTTTGGTCAAAATTGGTCCAGTGGTTCATGAGAAGTCGAAAATGTGAAAAATTTACAGACCGACGGACGGACAAAATGTGATCAGAAAAGCTCACTTGAGCCTTCGGCTCAGGTGAGCTAAAACCCTTCTCAAGAACCACTGTGACTGGAAATATGAAACATACAGTGCAGGGAAATAATTTTGTTACATAAACCAGCATCAGGATCAGCATAAGTAGGATCAGGATAGAGCTAGCATCAGCATCAGCATTTAAAAAAACAGCATTACCTTGATCAGCATCAGCAAGCAAAGGATAGAACTAGCATTGACCTATTTTAAAACCAGCATTGACCTACTTAAAATCAGGATTATCCTGGTTTACTAAAACTACAGATTTGATTTTCACAAAACGAAACCGCAAATAGACATTCCTATTTCAGTCGGAAATAAATACAAAGAATGTATTTCTTGCTGACAAATTGGCCAGTATAATCCTAAGATTATTATTAAATTAATTCAATAGCAATAACCCCGTGATATTTTCAAATCTGAATCAGCTGATCACCAAACGCTATGGAGTCTACTGGTGAGGTCACGCCACGGATTGATGATATTGAGATCGGTGATAAAGGGGTAAGTAGTTAGGCTTGCACATGAAAAATCAGTTAAACAATATAATAAAAGTATGATATTGTGAGTATGACTAATTACTACAAAATTTCATTGGGTTTTATGGGCATACACATGCTACGAAGTTTTTCAATCCGAATTTCCTCTAAATTTACGGAAGTCAGAAATAAAAGTCGCGGTGCATTGGACGAGATTATCTGCAAGCAATTTATAATAGACTGAGGTGTAATGAACAGAACGTAATAATTAATCCAGTGCAATAGTTGATTTTATGTTAATGAATCTGGTGTAAATATTTTTTAATTCGAAATTTCTTAAACTTTATAAAAACTTGTGCAGAAAAATTTGTGTATGTACAAAAAATCATTTTGAAATAACTTAAATAATTATGATATATAGGAGAGAGGATCTGTGCTTGAAAATATGCATACATTTATTTTAAAACTTTTTCACTGCTTATTCTTTTCCTTGTTTGATGAATAGAATGTTCATAGTGGAAAATTTTGTATACCAAAGTAGTTTATATGTCCTTAGCTGCAGATCTGTAGCTCTCCGAAAAAAAAAATATATTGATAGACTGGAGAGCTACAGTGCCACCCATTGAAAAAACTGTATATTTATTGCGCACAAAAAATTGTGCTCGGTTCTTGATTAATTTTTAATTCTTCCAAATTCGTACCTCAATTGCAAAAAAGGAAAGATTTTTAAAAATTTCTTTATCCTCAATCAAGTACTCTAGTAGTTGACATCTGTCAATGAAGCGTATTTGACCGAATTATCTTTGAAACCAAAATGGCAGTATAAATAAGCGAAATGTTCGATGACTACAATATCAGGGTCAGGCGGACTATTAACAACAATTATGAGGAATGTTTGGTTGTGGAAACAGCGAAAGAATATGTTAGGAACACATGGTTAGTAATATGTTGAGATTACAGTTTTAAAAACATGGAGAAATAAATTGAGAACCAAGCGCTCTTTTTTGTGCGCAATAAATATACAGTTTTTTCAATGGGTGGCACAGTATATCTCTCCGGTCTATCAATATATTTTTTTTCGGAGAGCTACAGATCTGCAGCTAGTATGTCCTGTATGTAGAATTTATTTTTTAAATGTACTTGAATCCATTTATAAATACCCTTGAAAATAAGATCTCAATTCAATTAAATACACAAACTTTAATCAATAGGAAGTCAATATAATTATATATGCTATAAATAATTATTTGTGTTTTTCCCAAAATAAAATTGTGAGAGATTAAAAAAAAAAAATAATAATATTAAGGTGATCAATCATCAATGAATAAATCTTGTCTTCTTTGTACTTTTATAGAAATGGAGTGCTATGAACAGTCCACAGTTTTGTTGCTTCATCACCGCACACAAGAATCTAGATCTAATTCATTCATGAAGATGCCAACACGTTCCGGTGAAGGGCTGCATATTTTAACCTGTACTCAGCACTAAAGCCTTTGAAAAGTGAGAGATCTTTTTCGTACCAACACCTAAATGAACTGCGACACTGGAACTCGGTTTATATGGTTTCATTCATAGGACCGGACAATCTACATGCAGTGATGTCGGAGACTGATGATTCAAACAAAATTCTGCTTTTTAAAAAAGACAAGAGTTCTTCATTCCTAAAAGTAGAGGGCAAGGACAGTAGAGGACATGAACAGTATGATGTAATGGTGGATTTATAACTTAAAATGAAAAAAATTCTAGAAAGTGAATTTGTTGAAAGAAATTAACTACTGGTGATAAAGAAAAAAAAACTTCATTTGTTCATGCGAACACCATGATTCTATTTATTTATTTATTTATTTGACTTTATTGACATAATATAATATAAGTGGAAAAGAGTGAATATGGGACATGAATTGTAAAACTATTAATCTAATAATTCCATGATTACACTATTTCATAAAATTCTACAAGATGTTATGGGACACTTTGTAATTTTATTTATATTATAATTTCATTGGTTAACTAAAATGGCACTGACTATAAATAAATTGTAATTTTTAGACACTGGAAATTTTGTTTTTATTGTTTCCATGAAGTTAAAATTTTACATGTGTACTTTGTTGTTCTACAACAAACATAAAATAATCTTTATTTTGTCTCCTTCTTCAAATATATTGTGCCCTAATACAGCACTATTAGTTTCTATTAAAGGAGTGGTAGAAGAAAAATTTGGTAAAGATGATATAAGATTTTGCTAAATTTTCAGAAAATGAACATTTTACCAAGGCGGTTAAGACAGAACAGAAAAACTGATAGAAAATGTTACTGTAAATTTCTTGTTTAGTTTTCATTTTTAAAATTGCGAAATTTGTTTTGTACGGTACTTAATTAACGGTTTTAATTTCACATGTATATCATCAAGATGAAAAGAATTATCTGGCTAGCAGCAAACTCTTAATATATGGTTCACTAGAGCATGTATAAATATTGGATGATTTAAACTACTGGCTTAAACAATTAGGAAAATGTATTTATTACACTGTCTAGTATCATGATATAAGGGAAGAAATATCTACACAGTAAAACATGGTTATAACGAACATGCTATAAGGCCAAAAGAAAATGTACTCTTGTTTCCTGTCCCCTGACCAAAAAAATTAGGGTAGGTAGGTTAGGGAAAAAAAATTATTTTGGGAAAAAATGTTATTTTCAAAACTCAATGAATGCAGAACTGCCAGAACATATAGTATGTAATAACAAGAAAGTTTGTTATTAAAGATTTATAAAGTAAAGGTATCCTGTACACTTATGATGTATTAGTTCTGTAAATGTTGTTGGTCAACTTTAGTACTTTAGGAAAATAGTAACCCAAAAAATGAAAATGTAATAAAAACTTTTAGGGTCGAAGGGTAAAATGTAGGGTAGGATGGGTGACAGGAAACAAGAGTATTTTTTATTTCAGCCTAATTAATTCATGCTGATGATGGAGTCATTTTCATTCCCCGCGTACTGGTTTTAAAATCCTATGGATAATGAACAAAATTTTAAAATGTCGAAAAGTGTGTTTCCCAGGCATTTAAAATACTACAAGCTTATTTTTCTGTGTATTTAAATGATTTACTTCAGTCTAAAATACCCTACATAACAATGTGTTACCCCCACATTCAGTCTATTATTGCAGATTTTAAATATGGAATTTTGCAATTAAAAATTTAAATGAATTGAATCCAAATAAAGAAATGTTTTTATTTAAATTCAAAATATTAAGAATTAAATGAATCAGGACACACCGGTATTACTATTTTTGTCATTACAATTCATTAATCTTGGCACATCAGTGAAAATTTTACCAGTCATCAATAAGTGTTTGATATTCTTTTTCAAGTGATCTAAAAAATCTATTTTTAGAGTATTCATGAAAATGCAATTAAGAATTATATATGCTTCATTCAGCTTCAATAAGAACACTACATGTAACAGAAATATTGCCTATTTACATGGAATGTTGGTGTCCTCAAAAATAAAATATCAGGGGCAGTATTTTTTTAAAAAATGTATATACTAAAAATACAACTTGGACAGAATATCATATATAAACATGTACTGTATACAGGGTTATTTTCACCCCCGTGTTATTTTCGCCCTTTTGAACATGCAAAAATTTTCCCCCGTTTTAAATTCGCCCAAGTCATACTTCTGTTTAAAAATTTGAATTTGCCCCGTTTTAAATTCACCGAATCAAGGATAGGGCGAAAATAAAACGGGGGAGAAAATTTCCCTGTATACAGTATCTCTCAATTAGTACATTATACTTAAAACAAACATCACACTATTGTAAAATATATGTTTTCATTTATTCTATAAAATCAATTTATATATGGACAATCATCATGAACAGTTGTAAGATTGTACAAAAGAGCAGGGATGCATTTCTATTTACATACATCTCATATCTAATTATGTACAATACACAAATCACTTGAAATCCACTTTAAACTTTAAATTCTGTCCATTTCATTTTTGATCTAAGTGGGAGATAACTTTAAAATGTATATATGTATGTCATCAATGGATTTGGCGCACATCATCACAACGGTTTTAATGCCACTGTCTGATTAATAGAAGTTCCTGGCTTGAATTTTCACTATTTTAACAGATAGAATTTCATCAGCTGGATTTAGGTCCAAAGAGAAGACCAGCATACTTTAATCCTGGAGGAATTTCTGCTTTGTTTACTCTGTCATGGGCCTGAAAAATATGAAACATTAATTAGGTTATAATTTCAAAAAATGCCAAATATTAAAAAACAATGCTATAAATAGTTAATACAGTTTTAACTACAGTTGTTAACTTTTAAAACAGTGAGTAATGTGTACATCACACAAATATACAAAATACAAACTTAGGAGGAAATTATTTAATTTTACACATTTAGAGCAATTAATTTTTTTTTTACAGGTAAAAGAAAATAAATTGTCACTCAGACTACTAAAACTTTAAAGTACTTATGCTATGAAATAGGGGCACAATGACAATAAGTAACTTTACAAATTGAACATAATTTGGCTATTTAATATCAAAGTAATGATCACAGTTTCAAACACTCATCTTTTCTCTTTAAACTCCAGTAAAATTTAAAAGGAGCCATTGAGGCTGAAATGATTAATCGATAATAAAGATTAAGTACACGTATATCGATCAATATGTATGTAAAAATATTTATATATCGCAAAAAGAATAAGGCATTTTTTTTATTTATACTTATATTTTGTGTTAATTATATACGATAAACATATTTTAAAATCAAAATTTTTATATAAAAATACACACCAGTAATAATTCTCACCACTTATATAAAATAATTTTGTTTTACAGCAGATATACCATGTGTACAGCTTAGTCTTTTAAATCAAATGAAAATTATTCATAAATAATTGTAAAGAAATGGTTTGTTCTTAAAATTTTTATGCCCCCGGATTGATAGATCTGAGGCGTATATTGTTTATGTCCTGTCTGTTTATCTGTTCAGCTGTTTATCTGTCTGTCTATTGTCAATTTGAACATTCGCCATAACTTTTTAACTCTGAGAGGTAGAGACTTGATATTTGGCATGCGTACTCAACTTAAAAAGACACCAACTTCAATGACCTTGTGACCTTGACTGTGACCTACATGCTTGAAATAGTTCTTTCGAACTTTTACCATAACTTTTGAATCATAAGAGATGGAGACTTCATATTCAGTATGCATATTCCACTAATAATTTTATAAAGTTCTTTCAAATGACTTTGAGATCAATGACCTTATGACCTAGACTGTGACCTATATGCTAAAACAGTTTTTTTTTAACTTTGTTACCGCCGGCCGCACAGTGTTTCACAAACAGATCTTGTTCAATACAAAAAAAGACTTCCTGATCAACATGACTAATTCAAATATTTGATACATATTGACATTGTATTGTAGCTCAAATATCAGGATAGATACATATCTGCCTTCTGAA